CCTTTAGCTGTTCTGAGGGTAAATTTGAACTTTCCCTGGTGCCCACATGGACAGACCCCTCCCCGCCCTTTGCTTAGAACATTTTCCTTAGAAACCTGTAAATTCCTTCTGTCCCTTTGACATGTGTGCAAACCTTTTGAAAACGTAGGAAACGTTCACGGGGAATGTTTCTCCTTAGCCTCCAGCAGGCTCTCTGAACGTGAACAGGAAGGTGGCGCCCTCTCTCCGTCTCTTGGGGGGATTTTGCCTGAAACGCCTGGTCCGAGCCGTGGCTCTGCTTGTCACAGCGATGAGGACCTCTCATCTTCCCTTGGACTCGAGGGAAGCAGAGACGCAGTGGCCACCCCAGCGAACAGGATCCTCTGTGAGCGACACGTGGTGCTGTCAAGTCCTCTCCCCCAAAAATCTTCTTGTGGTAAAATATACACGAGATAACAATTCCCACTGTAACCATTTTTAGTGATTAATTCAGTGACATTTAAGTACATTCCCAATGCTACGCAATTATCGCCACTATTTCCACGTCATCACCACAAACGGAACTCCGTGCCCATGAACAACGACCCCTCCCTCCCCGCGGGCCGAGCCCCAGCCGGTCCCGCTCCACTCGCCGGTTCCAGGCGCACAGGTGGACCGTACACCGGGCGGCCGCCCGTCTGGCTTATTTCACGGACAACGTTTGCAGGGTTCACCCCTGTTGTAGCGTCATCACACCTTCATTCCTTTTGACGGGTGGTTGTCCATCCATTGTAGTCTGACTACATTTTGTTTATCCACGCATCATTTTTGGGGGCGGCGGGGGGCTAATCCTCCCCCGAGGATATTTTTACATTGATTTTTAGAGAATGGAAGGGAGGGGGGAGAGACAGAGAGAAACATCGATGTGAGAGAGACACATCGAGTGGTCGCCGCCCACACAAGCCCGGACCAGGACGGGGATGGAGCCTGCAACTGAAATATGTACCCTTGACCAGAATCGAACCCGGGACCCTTCAGCTCACAGGCCATTGCTCTACCCACTGAGCCACACGGGCGAGGGCTATCCGCCCATCTCCCGATGGACACCAGCGTCAGGGCCCAGCGTCCTCCTTTTGCCCGTGGACGTGCCGTTTGTTGAAGCGAGCGCCCCTTCTCCGTTGGACTGGCCTGTCCTCCGTGGGGGATCAACGCACCACACAGACGGTTATTTCCGACTCTCACCCTCGCCCAGTGCCTCCGCGTCTGTCCTCACGCTGGGGCCACCTCCGTCCATCACTGAAGCTTGGTAGTGAGTTTTGAACTCAGGTGTGAGTCCAACCACTGAGTCACGCCGGCGGGCCCAACTTTGTTCTTTCCGGGATTGTTTTGTCTCTTCGGGTCCTTTGCGATTCCCTCTGAACCTCGGGGGGATTCTGTTTCTGGATTTCTGACGGACGGACGGACGTGGGACAAACTGTCTTCCCTTCCCTGTGCACGACGCCTCGTCCTTCCTTGGAATGGTCTCCCACGTCCGCCAGCTGAGTGCTCCGTGTGTGTGCGTGTGCGTGCCTCCCGCCTCATGGTGCTTCTGCAAACGACAGCTTCCTCTGCTGCCCCGGGCGTTGCTCACTGTGGAGGACAGAGACGCCCCGACTGTTTGGCTTCGCAGCCGCCAGGCCGCTGAGCTTGCCTGTGAGCTGAGGCTTTCATGGGATTCTTTAACGTTTCCTACACACGAGGTCACGGCGGCTACAAATACAGGCATTTCGGTTCTTCTCCGGTTTCGGTGAAGGGCGGGTAGAGGCCTCCAGGGACGCGTGGTGAGTGTGAGCTGCAGCCCCCGGGGGTGGGGGGGGGCGCCTGGAGCCCCACATGCCACCTCCACCTCCCCACCCCTCCAGCCCTGGCCCCTTTACAGGGACGCGGGGTGTAGGGGCCACTCTCCCTCCCCCACACAGGGGGGGGCGGTGGAGGCTGAGGGAGTGTTGGCATCCCCAGCCTGTCACGTCCTCAGGCATAGCTTGGGGTCTCATAGGAGGTGGGGGGCCGGCCCGAGGTCCTGGGAGTCTGGGCCTGAGGGACATCCCCAGCTCCTGGACAGGAGGAAGCAGAGCCGGGTCAGGTGCTGGACACTCGGAAGAGGAGGCCGGGGCACCCCCTTCTGTCTGGCCTGCCTGCGCCTGAGCTCAGAGCCTAGCCTGACCGGGTGGGCGGCCCCCTGGGTGGGTGACCCCCCTGCCCCCCTCTCCTGTGTGGTGCACCCCACACCCACCCCGACTGGGAGACAGGGGCCAGGCTCCCACAGAGGCTGGGTGCAGCCCTCGGCCTCCTGCGCCCCCAGGGCTCCCCCTGGCCCCGCCCGTACCCCCGGCTGAGCCCAGCCTGGGCACTCACCACAGGGGATGCCACACAGCTGCTGGGGGG